CTCCCGCGTGGCTGTTGAAGGAGGCGCAGTGAGAGAGGCAGCGCGAGAGGAGGCGCGGCGGGAGGAGGCGCGGCGGGAGGAGGCGTGGTGTTGCACAGCGCACGGGAGGAGGCGCGGCGGGAGGAGGCGCGGCGGAGGCGGGTGGAGGAGGCGGGTGTGAGGAGGCGGCGAGGCGGCGGGAGGAGGCGCGGCGGAGGAGGCGCGGCGGGAGGAGGCGCGGCGGGAGGAGGCGCGGCGGGAGGAGGCGGCGGGAGGAGGCGGCGGGAGGAGCGCGGCGGGAGGAGGCGCGGCGGGAGGAGGCGGGTGTGAGGTGCACGCAAAAGAACGAACAGTGTTGAAGAAAAAGTGGACAAGTGCCGTAATACTGCCAGTTACTTGAATACTTTGAATTTGAATTTTAAAACATTTTGGATAAACATTTGTGGTTCTGTTAACATGTTGAATTAAAATGAAAGAATGTTTTTATAATTTGAGAATACTCACATTTAGATTTCATTGTGCTCTTTACATGTGGGTCATTGTTTGAATATTCAAACAAATACATGAGAGAAATCATTGTAACCATCAAGTTAAATAAACAGATTGTCAGTGTTGGGAGTGTTACTTTTAAAATGTATTCCCCTACAGATTACAGATTACATCCCCCACAATGTAGTTTGTAACTTAATCCATTAAATTACTTCAAGTGAGTAATGTGAATACTTTAGATTACTTGATATTGTCATGCTTTTTAAAACTTCATGAATGTAGCAACCACATCCTGAAAATTCTTGTTTGTTTTCTTCAAATTGTCTGTTGAGCCCAAGTCTCCATGAATAAGCAACTGTTTGCTGTAGAGAAACAAAGACGAGGATCTGTTAGGATCAGGACGAGGATGTTAACAGAAGATGTTTTATCTGCTACAAGACAATAAAAAGTCCAGTCTTTCCTTAACCATATTAAAAATATTATTGATAGAGAAATGTTTTTTATATGAGATCACCTTAAATTATGTCCAACCTACTGTTAGGTGTCATATTGTTTAGTCCTGATTTTAGTACTGGTTTTAGTCCTGGTTTAGTCCAGATTTTAGACCTGGTTTAGTTCTGGTTTAGTCTTGGTTTAGACCTGGTTTTAGTCCTGATTTTAGACCTGGTTTAGTTCTGGTTTAGTCCTGGTTTTAGTCCTGATTTTAGACCTGGTTTAGCTCTGGTTTAGTCCTGGTTTTAGTCCTGATTTTAGACCTGGTTTAGTTCTGGTTTAGTCCTGGTTTAGTCCAGATTTTAGACCTGGTTTAGTTCTGGTTTAGTCTTGGTTTAGACCTGGTTTTAGTCCTGATTTTAGACCTGGTTTAGCTCTGGTTTAGTCCTGGTTTTAGTCCTGGTTTAGCTCTGTTTTAGTTCTGGTTTAGACCTGGTTTAGACCTGGTTTAGTCCTGGACTGGATTAGTCCTGGTTTTAGTCTTGGTGTTAGTTCTGGTTTAGAGGTTCACAGGAGGAAGCGCGGTTTACGTAGCGTATGTGAGAAAACATGGTCCACACGCGGCGCACAGGAGGACGTCGGTGTCCACGCAGTATCTACAGAAGGAGACGTGGTCCACGCGTTCTCAGGTTGATGACGATGATGAAGGTGTGTGTTTGTGGAGTTCGCAAACACATTTCTCGAGCTGTTTTCCGCTGTTAGGATCCAACAACCACACAATTACGATGTCCGAATCCCAAAACTAAAATATGACAGAACATAGAACATATCAGAACCAGAAACAAAAATGATATGGTTCAAAAGACTTGAAAAGATCGACTTTGACAAACATGGTGGTTTGATGCTCACTTTTTTGGAAAATCCTTCTCAGTATGGATTGCGCAATGACCGGAAGTCTGAGATTCTTGATGTGTGTGTATATGTGCAACTTTTTTCTATTAAAATGTAGTTGATGTGGCTCATATTCAGGTGCGCTCAATCGTCCTGAAATGACACTTGTGGTATGAATAACACAGTAAAAGAAAGTTGGTTTGCTGTGTTCTATGAAACTCTAAACTCGGTCTCTTGGTTGTGTCTTGCAGTACCAGATTTTGCCAGAGTGCGGCGCTGGCCCAGTGTGGAGGCCAACGGTCAGATCTACGTGTGGTTCCACTGTGACGGAGCAGAGCCGCAGTGGGAGCTCCCGGAGCAGCCGGAGATCAGGCGAGGGGAGTGGGTGTACAGGGGCCGCACGGAGCACTACGTCAGCGCACACATACAGGTCTGTGACATCCACAGAGTGTGTCTAGAATTCTGGAGAGGTGATTGGCTGAGAGGCAAAAGTAACACCTGTGATTGTGACGTGACGGGGAGGAACAAGAGGAACAAGAAATACACCGTCCTGCTTTCTTTCCAGCTTCATTTCCCTCTAAATTAAAGAGGAATATTATGCAAAATTTACTTTTTGGTGCTTTCCACCATGTTATAATGCAGGGGTCTTCAACATTTTTCAGGCCAAGGACCCCAAACTGATGTAGAGCTTTGCAGATTTGAGAGGCAGGTTCCACATTTCATTCATCCACATTATGTGCAAAAAATGCATATAAAAACACAATTACACAATAAAATGTTACAGTTCTCCAGTGCAGAATGGTTTGTTCCATAAACAATTAGTTAAATTCATCCATCACGCTTGGCTAAAATCACAATGAATATTAAATATGTTAAAAACACACAATCTTTAGATAAATAGATTATAATTTATAGTACAATAGCAGCCGGAACAAAGCTCCTTTTAAAAATATTCTTTTGTTCTCTGTTATTTTACATTCAATACTAGGGGAATATTCCATCGAAGTCGCTTAACAAGTCCAGTCTTATGCTGAAATCCTGAGCTGATACTAACTCCATCTCCAGTTTAAGCCTCAACTTGTTCCATGAGAGAAATGAGTCTGAGTCGGACCAAAGCTAAACTCAGACCTGAAGTTTAAGCTGCACTTTGTGTGTTCACGGTGAATCTGGGAAGGCCAGAGCAATGGAGCAACGACATCACAGGAAATGGGTTCAAAGTGTGACTTTTATTAAATGATCTGAATAAACACACTGTTTGCTCCTTCTCCTCTCCCGGTCGCTCCGTGGACAGAGAGGAGGTGACTCTCTCTGTTTTTTTTAGCTGTTGCTGCACCATAACAATGAATTTAAGCAAATAAACTTGTAATTACTTGTAATAAGCCTCAACTCGTTCCATGAGAGAAATGAGTCTGAGTCTGACCAAAGCTAAACTCAGGCCTGAAGTTTAAGCTGCACTTTGTGCTCACAGTGACTCTGAGAAGAGCAGAGCAATGGAGCAACAGCATCACAGAAAATGGGCTCAAACTGTGACTTTTTTTAATGATCTGACTAAACGAGAGGAGCCACAGTGCACGGACAAGAGTTTGATATGGATGCAGAACTTTTCAGGCCATTCTGATCTGAGGCTACGTTTATATGATGACGGTCTGAACAGAGCGTTTTCGGGAGGAAATCTGCGTGCATAAGGTGATGCAAAAGTGTGTGGAATTGGATTGTGTGCATGCCAGGCGGCTCGGCGGTGACGCTAGATGGTGATGTATGTGACATAAACATGTACGCGACCTGAGCACATCTGACCAGAATTTTGCGTCTTGGGCAGTGTAGATGGAAAGGGTACGGCGGAGTGTGTTTGTATCTGTTGTTTTTGCGTCTTGGGCAGGGCAGTGACATGGTGATCTAAATGTGTTATGTGTTAACCATGTGGTTATTAGAAATGCTTGTAAAAATACATTCCAACCATTTTCACATTGTCAAACCCTGGAGTTTGGAGGAAAATGTCTACAGGTCATGTGCGAATATCCGTGAAAATTTAACAAAATTAAATAAATAGTAAAATAAAATAAATAATAAATATATTGGCAATAAAGGTATTTAAAAACTATTGTCACCACTGATTTCTGTCCTCATTTAAATCTGTTTTAACAGAACTAATGTTTAAGTGCAGTATATGTTGTCAGCCACTTGTAATAAAACTATTCTAACAGACTAGATAGTTTACAATGGTAAGTTATAGCTCTTAAAAACATAATGGACTTAGTGTAACAATCAGCACATGCACAGTTGAAGTGCCTCATGAAGGTGCATCCCCAGACTCTCTCTCTCAGTGTGGATGCAGTCAAACTGTCTCAGTGTAAAGAAGCAGAAGACAGAAATCATTGTTTTTGGTCATTCTGATCTGTGACAGTGACACGGTTTGTCCTTTGAAAAAAAAATTCTAGAAACCTTGGTGTCATTTTATTTTTTTTTTAACTATAATTTTAAATTTGAAAAGCAGGTAAGCTCTGTCCTTAAATTAAGTTTTTATCAGTTAAGGGTTTTAAGCAAAATCAAATCGTACATTCCACGTCTGCACTTTGAAAAGGTCATTCATGCATTTGTGACCTCGTAACTCTGTATCTGCTGCACTGACCAGGCCCAGCTCAACCTCCTACAGGCTCCAGACGCAGCAGCTCCTTTAACTGGAAAGAAGCGGAAGGACCTCATCATTCCTGTTCTTAAACCCTGCATTGGCTCCATGTACATTTTAGAATCCATTTTTGTATTTCTTAATGTCACCTCCTATTTATTTGAACTCCTCCAGCCCCATGTCCCATCCAAAGATGTTAGCTCTGCACACCAGCACCTCCTGCTGTCACCAGGACTAGACTGAGGACCAGAGCACTTTAAATCCTTGCTCAAAACACGTCTTTCCTCCTTGGCATTTGTCCAGAGTTAGGAAGAGATACCTTTGGATTTTGCTGTTATTATTATTTTATTATTATAATTCTGCGTAATTTGGTTACTGTATGTTTTATTTCACTCTAAATGTTGTTCAGCACTTTGGTAAACATTGGCTGTTTTAAATGAGCTTTACAAATACATTAGATTTGATTTGATCTTCTTGTGTGTACAGTGTATTTCCCTGTCATCCAGCCCCTTGTGTCTTGTGTTGTTTCTCAGGAGATCCCAGAGAACGCCGCAGACATCGCCCACCTGGGTCACCTGCACCAGCCCGGCATGATCGGAGGAGTAGACCTGCGCTACACCAAGAACAAAGCCTGGAAATTTATGCAACATGACTGGAAGGTAAACGCCACTTTAGACTGAAGATACAACGTCCTGTTACACGAAAAGGACTCTTGTGAGCTTTAAGTCCTGGTATAATGTTGTTATCTCCTCATACGAGTAATCATTTAGTATTAGTCTGTCTGTGTTTGTGATGAGGAAACTACATAAGAACATAGACTGACTGAAAGGTTGGGGGACTATTTCCATGGGATTTACATAGTTGCCAAAACCTGTGTGCAGGAACATTTGTGTCCACCAGATTTGTTCTGGTGATGTAGAGCAGAGGAAAAGTTTTTAGGATCTTTGAGTAGTTTTAAAGGACACATATTTCACAATTTTCTGATTTTTGTTATCATGTAGTTTCCTCATCACAAACAGACCTGGAGTTTTGTTTCATTCACATGTTTAACACACAAACCCTGCAGATTTAGGCTGAGTTCTTCTGTCAAACTGAAAACAGTCTGTCTACAATCTCCAAAGCTCTGTTCCACCTTGTGACATCACTTGGTCATAAAGGAAGTGCTCCACTGTGTTTTAAAACTCCATTCACAACTCCAGGTCTGTTTGATGAGGTAACAACATTCAAACATGATTTAAAGCTCACAAGAGTCAAATTTGCATAATATAAGATTTTAGATGAAGTTATTTCAGTTCAGAGATGATAGAACGTGACAGATTTCATTCATTTATCTTCTTGTTATATGATTATTAAAATGACAGCAGATTGTGAATGTGATGTGATGGGGTCATAATCAGGGTTTGGGGCTTGTGAACAGTCACTGTTTACACAATATTTGGACAGTAACTAGTTACAAAGTAATTGATTACTGTCAAGAGTAAAAAGGATCAGGACTGCAGCGTGGGGTAAACAGGTGTAAACAGTGTTTAAAAGCAGTTGTTCAGTTGGAGGGGGGTGGTTCTTTGGGAGAGAAAACGGCTCTGTCTTTTGGGTGGAATGTGTATCAGAAAAGGCACAAAGGCACTCTTTGAGTTCTTCATTACAGCAAGGGATTACTGTAATCAGATTAATTTTTTAACAGTGCAGTACTTGAATGAGTTTCACTTTCAAATTGATTGATTAGGTCACATGACTAGCCCTAATAAACTTTAGTTACTTTTTCCAGCCAAAACTGTAACAGCTGGACTTTACTTTGAAAGTATATATATAATATCTTCTTCCTGGATGTTTCCAAATTTGCATCAATGAATCCACAGAAGTATTTTTATCAAACAGTAAACAGTGTGTCACCTCTGCTGCTGTTTACTGGAAATACTTCTTGCTTTCTGTAAGTTAGTTCCTGAGTTATACTTATAGTAATATACATAGTGATAGTAATATAAAAAATATATCATTTAAGTAATTAAAAGTAGCAACAGTAGTAATTAGATTACCTTTCAAAGCAGTAACCTGTGGTCGGTGAGTAATCTCCAACACTTTTCATCAGTATCTGGCAGAAAAAACATTCTGAACATAGACTAAATGTGTGTGGCTCTGTGTGTTTCAGGTGGAGTGGCTCCCGGAGCCGGAGCCACACTCTCACTGCTCTCAGATGCTGGTCAAACACGCCATGTACCTGTTTGGAGTGCACTGCTCCCTACTGGACGTCAGTGTGGTGGCTCGACAGGTGAGGCAGGTGCATATGCACTCTGTGGCTCGACAAGTCAAAAACTGTATTTAAGTCAGAGTAACGTAATATAATATTACTCAAGTAGTGAGATTAAAAAACGTATTTAGGAAAACTACTCCTCAAGTCAGAGTAACTTGAAGAGTAACATTAAATAAGTCAAAAAATCTGTCATTTTCAAAGGACAAACACAAAAATGAGACAAACTAAATCAGATCTGAAACACAAATGTTGCCACATAAAACTTTTGTCACATTAGACTCACAGTGGGACAAGGAAGCACAACTTTCACTCAAGTAAGAGTACTGGTACTCCAAAAAAATATTACTCAAGTAGGAGTGAGAGTATGCTGTTAGAAGTACTCTGAAAAGTACAGTTTCTTTAAAAAGGTAAATGTAACTGAGTACTGTCCACCTCAGGTCTGTGAGGGCTCTGCTTTACAAATCTCCAGGGAGAGAGCTAAAGATGCACTGTGGAGCTTTTCTGGTGAGAGGTACATGACCTGTTTGTTACCTCATCAAAAACATACCTAGAGCTGTATTTTATTATTAGTCTGTTCACATCTCCAAAACCCAAAATGCTCTGTTCCACATTGTTTTGTCTGTTTGAGGGAAGAACTCAGCCTAAATCTGCAGGGTTTACATGTGTATTACAGCATAGATCAGAAATAGTCTAATATGGGCCCTTTAATGTTAAATCATTGGAGATACTGAGATACTAAATGCTAAAAGTATTATTTTAGTAGAACTGCAAGATGGACCAAAGGCACAGTTTAAATAAACACATTTAACAAATCACAAATGCTGAAGCACCATCATCTCTACAAAACAACACAATCTCCTGTCTTATTGTATCATATTATATTATAACAACTAACCCTAGAGTTTAGATCTGTACAAAACCTGTTCATATGTCAGTGTTTTTGTATATTCTTCTGGACTTGTTTAAAATGTGAACTTTGAACAGTTTATGTAACTATTTAACTAAACACAAATTGCTAATCTAATCAAAATGCTTATCAGAAAGATTGCAAGTAGATATTTTCTTCCAAATGGTTCAGCCCTTATTCTGATTCAAATTCTTTTGTTTGATTTTTAAAAATAGTCTTGGTCTAATGCCGGGCGTACACTGCAATATTTTCGATCATTTCACTCAGCCCCAGCTCAAACTGTACGACCAAACCACAGGGTTTAAAAGCTCACAATTGAGAGGCGACTGGATTTCAAACAGGTTTGATATTCTTGCGACCTACAATTGCCGATCGGGAGCTGGTCGTGAGGTATTTATGGGTTTTGTTACTCCATGTATACTACACGAAGCACAACACACGACTAAAACTCAGCTCAATCCCAAAAACAAGTGAAAAATCATCTCAAAAAGGGCCAAAAATCGCACAGTGTACATCCTGCTTAATGCATGTCTGTGGGCTTTTGCATATTTGCTTTAAATATGGCAGCAGGTGGCGACACCTAACAGATGATCTTGTGTTCTTCAGACGGGCCCTGGTGTAGTGTTCATCCGCTTCGACCACCGCTTCCTGGGGTCAGGGGTCATCATGCACTGTGTCACACCCCTGGAGCCTCTGCTGCAGCTGGTCACACACACCATCTTCTACCAGGCCAGCATCCCCACGCCCGTGCCCAAGTTCATCCTCATGTCTGAGTGCATACAGGTGAGAGACACCAGGGCGGTCACCGGGGGTCAGAGCATGGAAACCCGACCGAAGTCTGATGGGACCCGTCAGAACCCGACGGGCTCGGTCAGACTCGGACAAATATTTAGAACTCATCTTAAGGCTGCCACACACTACAGGATTTTTCTGTCTTAAATGATTTTTAAACATGCAACAAAAAGTGAATCTCATGAGACTTAATGTCTGCAGCAGGATATGTCTGTGGACCACAGGATATAAAGTTGTGAGTGCGATCGTGTCAGCTGTTTCCTGTCTACAGTAAAACCAGTCGCTTTGAGACTCTTAAGTGTTCGAAAGATCAGAGCTCTGCACTTCTACTTTAGATACAAGTCAAAACTGTGTCATTATTATTTGTGAAATGTGGTGCAAAACTTCAGATACAGGATTTTTAAAGCATAAAAGATTGGAGATAAAGTCCACAGGAAGTAGAGTCACTGTCACTAATCTGCAGCTTCACCTCGATCCGTGCGCTGTGTGGATGTAAACAGACACACGTGAGGAAATACACACACACACACACACACACTTATTTGTAGACTGGATGTCATTATTTGCAGAGAACAATACCTCTGGATAATGTGGATGAGAAGCTAAATGTAAAACTTTCCGAGAGGTGAACTAAACAAAGTGAAATAAGTACAAATACAGTATGAGTGGAGTCTAATGATTCAGTCCTTTGATGGTTAAAAGCATGTTCAAAACCCTTTGTTTGTATTTTATATGATGCGTATCTGTGAAGAGTGAAAAGAGTTGCGGTAGAGCTCCCTCTGCTGACAACAATAGGCACAAACCATGAAAAGCCTTGAGAAGCATGTGGCCATCATGTGAATCGATTCATATGTGAGAAAACGATTGCAGAAGTACTTAGAGTGAGTCCAGTGATTTGTTTATGGACTTTGAGATCACCAGGAATCTTTGAGACTGAATGAAGCACAAATATAACTCCAGATATGTTTCTTATGCAGGAACAATGCTGTCACGTGATCAATGTTTCCAAAAATGCATTGAATTTTATTATAAGCTTAGTATTCTAAACGCACATTCTGAAGTGTCCACAGTTTCAAGATCTTATATTACACAAAATGGATTCTTGTGAGCTTTAAGGCATGTTACAATGTTGTTACCTCCTCAAAAACAGACCTGGAGTGTTTTGTTTTATTCACGTATGTCAGCTCAAAATTGGTAGAGGTACTCAGCTTTAGAACTATTTCCTGTATTTTTAGACTTAGACAAACTTTATTGATCCACAAGGGAAATTACTTGGACACAGTAGCTCACACATCACAATATAATATAATAACACAGAGGAAAAATATATAAATGGTAATTCTAAATGTTACAATGTCATTACCTCCTCAAACACAGACCTGGGGTTGTGTTTTGTTTCATTCACACGTGTCTGTCTGCATCCCCAAAGCTCAAAATGAACCTTGTGATGTCATGAACAGCTACCTTTACCTTTTATTCAATAAAGATTGGCAATTCAAAAGCTGAAATTATCGAGATGATTCTAGTGAAGGTGTATGGATCTTAAAAACACAGTGGAGCATTTCTAGAGTGTCTTTTGTTTGAGAGAAGAACTCCTAAATATCCAAAACACAACAATATGTTTCTGATGATCTGAAAAAAGCATGATATGGGTCCTTTAAACATAACATCATTGGATTATTAATAATAACCCAATGATGTTATGCTTAAAGGCCACACAGGGCAGATGTTGCGCTCCCATACTGTGTGCACTGTCTGTTCCTAATGTGGAGACCTTGTCTGCAATATTCCAGTCCTTAACAACTTGGAGAAACTGTCCAGCGCATGCTTCTGCAAAATGTCTCTCTTCAATTTTTAAAACACCCAAAGCAAAGGACTATAGTTGCCATTTATTGTCAGTTAGATGAGTTGTTACCCTGAGGTAATTATGATTACTCATGAGGTCCAGTGATCTCCAGTAAGCGAAACAAATTCCGCATCAGCCAGCAGTTGTATCTTGGCGGTTTTACTTGTGCGGTACAGTTCGTTTCTTGTAGGTAGTTCAAAGGTACTTTGTATGACGGATCACCTGTGGCGATGTTCATGACATTTTGCAGCCCTTGGTCTTCAACGATGTTAATACAAGCATCAAGAATCTCGGACTTCCGGTCATTGCTCAATTCATACTGGGAAGGATTTTCCGAAAAAGTGAGCATCAAACCGTCATGTTTGTTTTTACAGTGGGACAGTGTTGTGCAAGTTCACACTTTTCATGAACTAGTTCAAAGTTCAGTTCACACTTTTTCAAAGTGAATAGTTCCCGTTCATAGTTCACAATTTTAATTTTGAACTAGTTCAAAGTTCAGTTCATTTTATATTTAGATGAGATCTGTAAATGAAAGGCTGCTTTTATTTTTCAAACTGACTTCTAGTTTACAACAACTTTACAAGATACACTGTTGGACAAGTGACTTTAAAACTGTAATGTGTTATTTATGACTTGTTACTGTCATTTCAAAGTCATTTGTTACATTACAATATTACTGTATTTAAAATGTAAAACATTACACGACTATTGCAGCACTTTTAATTTACTCTCACCAAAAGAACTGTTAAGATGCTGAACTTTTGCGCCGTATATGGACTAAACCAGGACTGAACCAGGACTAAACCAGGACTAAACCAGAACTGAACCAGGTCCAAACCAGGAATAAACCAGGTCTAAACCAGGACTAAACCAGGTCTATACCAGAACTGAACCAGGACTAAACCAGGTCTAAATCAGGTCTAAACCAGGACTAAACCACGACTAAACCAGAACTGAACCAGGACTGAACCAGGTCTAAACCAGGAATAAACCAAGACTAAACCAGGACTGAACCAGAATTGAACCAGGACTGAACCAGGTCTAAACCAGGAATAAACCAAGACTAAACCAGGTCTAAACCAGGATGGAACCAGACTGAACCAGGACTAAACCAACTGAACCAGGACTGAACCAGGACTAAACCAGAACTGAACCAGGACTAAACCAGTCTAAACCAGAACTGAACCAGGACTAAACCAGGACTAAACCAAGACTAACCAGTTTATCTCGGTGGAGCTCGGAGTTCTGCGTCGGTCCTTTCGCTCAGGATCACGGTCTACGCGGGCGCACCTCCGGCGTTTCACCGCTGCTGATATCGCGGTGATTTTAGCAAATTTGTATGAAGAAAAACGAAAAACCCACCATTTCAATCCAGGTTAAAAAAGCATTGTGACGCGCGTTACTGACATTTGTACCAAGTAAAATAATACGCGCGCGGAGCAGCACGTCCTGTGCGTGTTAGATTTCAGAAAAATAGGATCCATCCTATTTTTTGATGCTCTACACGAGCGTAGGCGCGTATCCCGTCAACATACACAGAGAGCATGTATCTATTGTTGTATTTGTGCATTTACCATCAGCACATTGTGCTCCCTGGGCAGTTGTGTATCATGTGAAAGAGCCAGATCCACATACACTGTTAATTAGTGCTTTGAAATTTACTTTTGAAATCCTTGCGTTTGCCGTGGTCAGACTGTACAGAAGGTAAATACAAGCAGCTAAACGCGCCCAGTCAAGTTTGATTGACTTTCCCATTGAGAGACACAAGAAGCCCGTACGTTCCGTTAAAGCTGCCGGGGAGTCGCCTTCGCGTTGACACGCGGCTGTGGTTTCGCGAGGTGAAGCGCGAGCAGATCGTCACTCGTCAAATTCCGACGTTTAACTGAACCCCAACAGTGACGTACGTCGTTCATCACACATAATTTGAACAAATTCACATTCAAGTTCTTGATTTACAAAAGTGTTGCGTTCAGTTCAAAGTTCACTGAAAAATGAACGTGTTCAATGAACGCGTTCTTTTGAACTCGTTCATGCACAACACTGCAGTGGGATGTGTCTATTTGTCAAAGTTGATCTTTTCTAGTCTTTTGAACCATATCACTTTTGTTTCTGGTTCTGATATTGTCATATTTTAGTTTTGGGATTTGGACATCATAATTGTGTGGTTGTTGGATCCTAACAGCGGAAAACGGCTCGAGAAATTGGTTTGCGAACTCCATAAATGCAAAAGGGAATCAGATGTGTGTGACTGCAAACCTCTGTTTAAACTATTTCCCTTCCCAACGGAATTGAAAAATAGTGAAAGGTGAAGGCGATGGGCAGGACTGATCCACGGGAAGGACTAAAAAGGAAACCTTTGACTGCCTAAATCATCCCGAGTTTGCAGCGAACATTTTGTATGTGGAGCAACAACAAAGTGGGATTCTGATTGTTAAGCGAGAGGTGCAGAAGACAAACAGGCCGAGTGAGCACTTTCTTGTTCTTGTAGTTTCACAGCAACATTAAGTCTTGGTCTCTTTGCAGTGGAAGGTGTTTCTTGGCCGAGTGAGTGAGGGGTCGGGGTTTTGCTTTTGGAGTTTTTTGAAGAGAAATTTGCTGCTGAGCACACCTGTCATAGTCTCATTAGCCATCTTTGTGTCGGTGTATGGATGGACCAGATCATTGACCTAATAACCTGCGCTGCCTTTCACGTCACCATCCGCATCCGCGCTTTCGATAGAGGAGCATGTCTGGTCAAAATAAATTGTGTGATTAATCTGCGTTAAAAATATATTAGTGTGATCATTTTTTGTGCTTAATCGCATGTGTTAACGCGTTAACGTTGACAGCCCTAATTATTATTTTATATTTTGTCCACTGTCTGCCACAATATTCACCTAAAACAGCATATTACAAGGATCATAACTATTTTCTGACCTATGATCTAATGTTCTTTGCTTCATCAAAAAAAAAAAACATGGAGTTGTGTTTTGTTTTATTCACATGTTTAACACACAAAGCCTGCACATTTAGGCTGAGTTCTTCTCTGAAACATAAAATACACCTTGTGCAGGATGTGTTCCACTGTGTTTTTAAACTCCACACACCTTCATTAGAATCATTTGGATGAGTTCAGCCCTGGATTTGCCAATCTCTACTGAATTAAAGGTAAACTGTAGCTGTAAACTTGAAAACTACCACTACATGACATCACAAGTTGGAACATTTTGAGCTTTAGAGATGTAGACAGACAATAAATATAAGATAATAAAGTGTTACTCAAACATGTGTGAATGAAACAAAACACAACTCTTGGTCTGTTTTTGAGGAGGTAACATTCTAACATGGCTTAAATCACACAAGAGTACATTTGGTGTAATATAGGATGTTTCATAGAAATGTGATGGTGAGGCGTGCACGTGGAGGAGCTCAGATGGCCGTCAGAGCGCCGCACAGGAGGAGGCTGCAGGTGCCACAGCCTCCACTCCTTTGCTCCTATAGAAATGTTTAGTCATGGACTGAGCACAGATGTCACTGGGGCACATTTCAAAGGCCGACCACTACAGCACCGCCCTGCTCTCCATGTGAGCTGGACTTTGTGAGAGTACTGCTCCAAACAGCACTGACAGCTGCTGGTGTGCTGTGCTGTGTGTGTGTGTGTGTGTGTGTGTGTGTGCTTGAGCCTTAAAAGGACAGTCCAGAATTTTAGACATAGGACCTCATTTTCTAGGCTACGTTTACACTGAAATGAATCTGCGTATCACCATATCAGAAATTATTTGTGTCCAGACACGTCGTTTCTGTGTCTGCAAGCCTTCCCTATCCACGCAACTTTGAGCACATTTATTTACGTTTTACAGAAATGAAACTTAAAAACACATGGCTCATTTGCATAAACTAAGAGCTCAAAAAACAGCTCGCTATTGTGCTCTGATGCGGTTCAGCTTCTGTCGGACTAAAGGACATGACTCAGTGGAATATGAGTGTTCTTTCTGTGACAGACGGGTGTTCTGCTGATGGTGAGTCTGTTCTGTGCTTCTATGGCATTGGAGATGGTTCATGTTAAACTTTTCAGAGATTATAAGTCTGCAGGTCATACACACAGACCGTATGAATGGACTTAGTGTTTTAGTGGTGAATTATTTTGCGGTGCATAGACCTACATCAGTGTATCAGCGTTTTCAGGCGTCCACACAGTGCTGGATCAGATCCGTACTCAGATGAATTTGTGGGAGCTGGAGGCACCAGATCGTTCCATCTCTGGAGCTATTTTCAATCAGATTAGTGTGGACGAACACTGCATCCACAACGAAAATTACTCGAATATGTACTAGTGTGGATGGGACCCTACACTTTTTGAAATATTCCATCCAGTCCTTGCATTTACAGAGGTCGCTGGTGCTAGGCTAGTGCATGTCAAGCGCATGTATTATTACACGAGACAGTCGATATGAATGTCTGTGTTGATAGAATAATTTTAAAAGTAAAACTAACCTTGCATTTGAAGGATTTATATGTGAGCAGCAGCAGCGAGTTATATTTCCTGATAGAAAGTTTGGCAGCAGTGGACAGATATATGAGAAAATAGTCCCTCAACATGTAACAATTCATGTGATGCAAGGTTAGTTTTATTTCAAACATTATTCTATCAACACAGACACACATGGACAATCTGGTGTAATAATAGATTTGTTTCGGGTGTTTTGTGGAGTGGGTAAGACTGTTTTTAGTGGCAGGAGAACTATGGCCACTGAAGTGTATACATGCACATCAGTGTCCCGGTTATGATCGAGTTTTTTGAGTATCCCGGTTTCTTCATGGTGCATGTAAACGCAGTACCCCAGTTTCAGTATCCCGGTTATTAGACACCGGTTACTGTAGCTGGTCTATTCCGATAGTAACCGGGATACACAGTATATGCATGTATACACAGTATACCGGTTACTGCAACATAAAGTTGAGTGTGCATGCGTCCAAAAGACAAACACTTTCCAGTCTTTTCCCCACAACAGTAGCGGCATAAATAAAGTGACCAACATAAATAAAGTGACCGTACATGAGTGAAATGACTGTAAAATAAAGAGCTGCACTAAACCTGCACATGTACAATCTGCACTCGTATGACCTGCACTCGTGTGATCACTGAAAAGTTAAAACATGAACTATCTCCTCTACTGTAAACACACACAGAACAGACTCACCATCATCAGCACCTCTTCTGTCACAAAAAGAACACACATAATCCACTGAGTCGTGTCATTTAGTCCAAAAGAAGCTGATCGCACAAGGAGCGAACTGTTTTTATCACCGCTAACAGTTTATGCTAATTAGCGATGTGGTCTTAAGTTTCGTTTCTGTAAAACGTAAACAAATGTGATCAGAGCTGAATTATCTGATCAAACGAGCTGGTGTGGCTCTATAGTAGTTATGGTTTATATGTTGTAAAGTTGAGTTTATTTATGCAGAAGATTTCATATGGGATTTAATTGTGGAATATCTCGTAGCTCCTCACCGCTGGTTAAACCTCCTGAGTTTCCTCTGCTGAAGGAGCTCATGGTTTGTATTTTTCCTGGTTTATTAAATTGATTTAAGTAAATTTTTGTGCTGCCGCATTTGTAAGATTATGTCAAGAAACCGGGATACTCCATTTGATCATGTACACGCAGATATGAGTATCCTGGTCTCAGTGTGCATGTGACATAACAGACTATAACTATAATAATACTGACTGATGTGCATGTGTACACACATCTACTAGCACCAGTGACCTCTGCAAATACAAGGACTGGATGGAATATTTCAAAAAGTGTCTCCACTAGAGATGTGCGGATGGGCTATTTTTTCATCCGCAACCGCGACACAAAACTCATCATCCGCCCGCTGTCCATTTTGCACCGAAGGTTTTCAAAACCGCACCCGCCGCCATCCGCCGATTGATTTTAGATTTTAGAACAATCATACAGCAAACAAACTAAGGAGCCTCGAAAAAATGCAAACTCTATAGCTCATTCATTCCAAAATTCGCTCAGCGTGTATGTTCGCATTCTTAATTGTCCGTAACAACCCCAGACTTACCTGGTTTTCTTGCGCAGCTAATTAATTGACAACGTTTTCCGACGAGGCTGTTTTTGAACCTTCTTGCCTTCGTGTTGGATGTTGTTACATTCTGAACATTCTGCCATTGCCCGATGTTATTTCAAAGTCATAGCCTCACTCCATCGGTCTTTCTTTAAGTTTTAAATCCCCCGAGTGGCAGTCTACGCTATAATGTCTGCGTGTTTTAAAATATATCTGATATTCGAAACAAAATAGATCATCTCATCCAGATGAACCTTTATTGAAATCAGGCAATGCCCTCTTTATATTCCAATTGAAATAGGCAAGAAAAAAAATGCATAACTAAATAAATCTGGCCATAGCCACTTATGTGTTGGCAAACAGCTGAAATAAATTTGAAATAATAAAATAAACTGCATATAATATGTGCCTCTAAACCTTAGGCATCAATAACCCGACACAACCTTAACCTTCAGAACATAAAAACGAGGTCAAATGGGCTAATTAAGGACATGACGTACACTTCATACTACAAGCATAGACAATGAGACTCGTCTTTTCAGATGTACGTAACAATACTAACAATAACTTTTTTTTTTTTTTTTTTTTTAGTAGTTAAACCACCACCCGCCCGAATTTAATAAAAATATAATTTTTCGTCACGTCATCCGCCCGACCCGCGGATTAACCGCGGATACCGCGGTTGTAACCGCAATCCGCGCATCTCTAGTCTCCACACGTCTCCAACTCTCTGGCTCACTAGGAAATGAGGTCCTATGTCCAAAATTCCAGACTGTCCCTTTAAAAGTCCCATGTTACACAAAATTGACTTAGGTTTTAGCCATGTTATACCTCCTCAGAAACAGACCTGGACTTGTGTTTTATTTCATTTACACATGTTTGAGTAATCCTGCATTGTAATCCCAAGAGCTCAAAATGCTCTGCTCCTCTTTGTGATATAATGAAGTAGTTTTCAAGTTAACAGCTCATTTATTCCTTATTCCAGGGCTGAAATCATCCAAATGGAGAAAACCGCATTATGACATTTGTTAGAAAATAGCATAATATAGACCCTTTAAACATTGCTTCCAGATATTTTTGAGCTTTCTACCATGTTATAATGTTGTTCTATCATCAGAAACATGCCTGAAGAGGTTTTAGATGCTCCCACATGACAATTCTCTATACAATAAACAAAAACATGATACAAAACTGTGCGCTACAACTTCACAAACCTGATGTAATGTGCAGTAGTTTTATTAGTGGGATGCACACTCATTGTTTTGTAATAGTGCTTTGTAGAAGTGACTTAGAGTGGAAAACAACATTTTCAAACCAATAAAAGATAACATGTTGATCTAAATATGTTGTGTTCACAGTTAGTACCCTGTAGATGTCAAGGTTCCTCCTCTTTAATATGCATTTTTATCTGCGTTTGTTGCAGTTTGAGCGAGATGTGATGGTGTGGAACAATAAGAAGTACAACCCCAGTCCCATGCTGGTGAAGGAGGACAGCGCCATCTTGAGGCACCGGCGCTGGTTCAGTCAGTTCTACAGTGAGAACAGCCCACGCTTCCAGTACCACAAGGACTCCTTGGACTTCTGAGCCCAGCACAGCAGCCTGTGTGTGGGCTGAGGGCCGCGGACTGTGGGCTGTCTCCTGGACGACACGGCCGCACGAGGAGTCTTCACATGATGAAGAGTTAAAGGGCACACACTATGCAAAATGAATAGTTTGTATTTTTGGGCTCATTGGGCTCCACAGTTTTCCAGCCAGAAGTTAACAAACTTGTTTTATTAAGTCGTTTTAGATCAATGTTCTGATTTAAAGGATCCACACAGGATTGTACTGTTTACTGGTCTAAGTCATAATGTTAAACACAGACCTGGAGTCGTGTTTTGTTTCACTCACACATGTTTAACACACAAACCCTGCATATTTAGTCTGAGTTCTTCTCTCAAACAAAAAAAAAAACAACATTCCACCTCCACCTTGTGAAGGTCGCTGTTAACTACTATTAAACTACTGCTTCATGACATCACAAAGTGAAACAGAGCTTTTTGAGCTGTGGAGATGTAGACAGACAAATAGTAAAAGGTTACTCAAACATGTGAATGAAACAAAACAGCCCCAGGTCTGTTTGTGATGAGGTAACAGCAATGGAACATGGTTTAAAGTTCACAAGAGTCAATTGTGTGTAATTTAGGATGTTTAAAATGTCCAAAATATAACATCATGGTCTTCTTTTAAGACAGATGCCTTTTGTGTCTTCATCTAAACAAATGTGCATTCTTCTCCAGAGCCTGGTGTACATATAAACATACACAACACACACACAACCAGACTCATGTTGATTGGTTCAGTGTCTAAACTGAAACGTCCCTACAGTCCATTTCCCTTCATGGCCAACAGAGGGCGACTGACACAATGTTTTTTTGTGTTTCCTGAAATGCAGATATTTATACATATTGTAAGTTCTACAAATTGAAATAGCAAATGCTGAGGTGTTTGTAAGTATTTGAGATTGTTTGAATAAACCATGACCATGTGAGACCGTTAATGTATGATTTTTAGTGCAATGAAGGTTTGGAGAATCAAATAATTTAATCTGAGCTCCCTCAGATTTTTAAACATCAGATGTTTAACATAGAAAAAAGATTATGATTTTTAATTTGCTTGGCCTATCTGTGTTCACAGTTACAAGGTAAACATATGTAAATCAAATCACGTTTTTACTGCAAACAATTGTAATGCAGCTTTATTCTTAATTACAAAAACACTGGACATGATGTCATTTGTCACTGTTCATTTGTCTGCAGAATGAGCCTCACATGAGTCTCTCATTTGAGTTGCCAGTTTTAAAGCTGAAATCCAGTTGTTTTAAAGGTGCACTATGTAACTTTTTGGTTGGAGTCCATCACCTGCTTGTTTCCTTGAATATGTCATTGCCTGGAATGTTCCACAGTGTGACATTAAACAGCTCTAACAAACATTTATTCAATTACAGGTGATTTTATAATGGAAAAATACAGTGATAAACAGGCATTCTGACTGCGAGCGGGGTCGCCTCTCCACAGATCCGACCTGTAACTTGGTCTGATTTGGTGTCCATGATAGAAAGGTTTAATACCACACTGTGAAACATTCCAGACAAAGCAGTAACATCTCCATGAACAAAAGAATCTGAAACCCTCCACCAAAAAAGTTACACAATGCACCTTTAAACCTAAAAGGACTCTCTCTGATCTCAGTGGTCTCTACTATATGCAGTTCCTTTAAAGGTGTGTGTGTGTATGTATATATATATACACACACACACTATCAACTTGCACTAAAGAATATTGTATGTTTCTGTTCGTAAAGCCCTGATACTGTGAACTATTGGAAGTGTTTTCATGTGTGGGTGCACTTTATAGTCTAGACCGACATGTGTCAGTGTTTTGGGTCTTTGCTGGCACACATACTTCAGACTTTTCTCATTAGAAATTGGTTTGAAAAATTATGTCTTTCCGATCTAAGAAAAAAGTGCTTGTACTTGTGTTTGCCAGCCTCTGCGGCATTTTTTGTACACAGCATGTCCTTGTACATGTTGCAGTGGTTGCCATGGAGACACTGCTGCTGTTATACTTCCTTCAGGCTGAAAAATACACTTAAAAAAAAAAAATAAAAAAAGCATGTTTGGAGTCTTATTCTTCCACAGTTCACCAGGCTGTATCAGGAAGTTCTTGTTTAGTCACTGGTCACATTTTGGACCACTGGGCTGCTGTTTACTCAAGTCCAGTCACTGTTATGTAAGTTGAGATTATAATCAGAAAGTAATCATATAAGATCATGCCCCACATTTATACTGCGCAACTGAAAGAAATATGCCTTTTAGCCAATTGGTTTTATTTAATAGCAAAAGAAAATTCCATTCCGGGAACTGGGCAAAGGTTTTAAAGTGAGGACATTTCATCGCTCGCCCAAGAGGCTTGTTCAGTTCTGACAGGGTTCTGGTGTTCTAAATGTAAACAGTCATATTAGCATAACCATCCAGGCCCCTGGTGGATGCTCTCATACCTATTAGCACACAGACTGTCACTATTGTTTTTTCCTGTTTTGATTTGGGTCTGAGGATGGAGTTGTAAAGCAGTGGTTGACTGTTCATTTCACACCGAGGCCTTCAGTAGTGCTCTGTCTGAAACAATCTACTCCTCAATAACTATTTTATGGTTATAAAAGCATCTTATTATACAGAAACACAGTGTAAAGAGCCGTTACATCGCAGATAGATAATTCCTGAAGCCACAATCAGAGGTGTAGTGGGTGTGGTATGCAGGCGTACGCTGTCCACCCACTTCTCCCAGCGTGAGATATAAAAAATAACAAATATAAAATAGCTACAACTTAAATGTCAAACTAGAGCAATGGTGAAAACAACCTGCATATTCACTACTATATCTGATGATATCTGCGCTGCTGTCAGATATCATCCTGAGACATGAAGAACCAGGACTGAGCTGGGACTGAGCCAGGACTGAACCAGGACAGGGACAGGACTAAAACAGGTCTGGGAGTAGTCCTGGTTTGGACCTGGTTGGTTTAGACCTGGTTTAATTCTGGTTCAGTCCTGGTTTAGTCCTCATGGTTCAGTCATAAATTGCATACTCCCACTTAAAAAATCCCCACTACACCACTGGTAATTAATAATAGTAATACATAGTAATAATCATCTGGATTCACTTAGCTGCTACAGATGCAGTTTGGTGCTTTGGCTGGTTCGCTTTCTGACTGTCCAATCCCTGAGTCTAAATCCGGTGACGTTGCCGTGTGCCTGCTAGAAGGTCCTGGAGACACCAACTCAAAATATGTTGAGGCAACAGTTTCATGGACATTTATTTAGTGTTTGAGGGCCTGCAGAACGGATTGTGAAGGCCTCAGGCAAACTTCTTGGACTTTGACCCTACCTGGCAACAAGTGATGGCTGAAATGTGATTGGTCAAATGCTTTAATATGAAAATACATGTGTGGAAGCAGCACAACCATCGGAAAAACTCTGAAAGGAAGTGGACAGAACATTTAGAATTATTTAATAATAATATAATTTACATCAGTCTGTGATTCAGATAGTTTTTTAGGCCAGCAGAGAAGGCCTTGCAGGCCCTGATGTCCACTACTGGTAAATAGGAGAGAGATGATGTGTAAGCCCCTACATTCCTGTTCAAAGATGGATTGTCTTTCCTAACAAAAATAGCCTCTTTAACTCCCCTTTCAAACCATTTCTTTTCTCTAGCTAAGATCTGTACCTCACTATTCTCAAAAGAGTGGTTAGTGGCTTTGAGATGGAGATGTACAGCAGACTGAGGTCCCGTGCTGCTCTCTCATCTGTGTTGGTACAGCAGACTGAGGTCCATGCTGTGTTGGATTGTTGTGGCTGTCAGTCGGCTGTCAATCATTGCTCCAGAGCCCACCCCACATCTGCGCCCCCCACAGAGAGTCTGCATCGCCTTGAACCCTCTCCACAGAGCGTCTGCGTTGACCGATGTGCACCTCTGAAATGTTGTAACTACGCGTCAAACCGATGCAGGCAGCAAGGGAAACCGACGCAGACAATAAGGGCTGTGATTGGTCCTCTCTACACCGCTCTATATACATTTCTAGTACTCCGCTTTCCTGCTCATTCAAAAGGCGTACAGCCCACCCTCTACGTCTTCTCTTTGGTTTCTTGGTCAACATTTGCACCAGAAGCAGTTGTTCCTCGATACTAACAGTTCCAACTCCATCAGCGTCCTCTCTCGTTCAGTCGCAATTGTTCAATGACCGGTGTCTCCACAGTAACAGAAAGGTAAACACTCCACCAAAGAGTTCATGCGATTTTGCGACTCAACACCTCCCAGCGTTGTGGCGGTGAGCTACTTTGCGGCGCATGGGCCTTTATAATGAGAATTGATCACTTCACACCACTAGATGGAGCTCTCCTGTTATGTCATTGTTTTGTTCATACTTCATGCCTCATACACCACCTAAACGGACAACTACATGCTTCTATTCTGTGCACATCTGTTCTGTTATCAAATCTAGACTCCCTTTCAGTTCCGATATAAGACGGCCTATCAGGTAGTTTGTCACCATAGTGTTCTCTCCATGTGTGAAGTGTGTGTTGAAATATGCAGTGTGTGTGGTGTACGTGTGCTCATGCATGGCTGCTCCGGCTGAATGCTTTAGTGAGTTCAACTGGGCGGGAGCACATTTAGACTGTGTTTTTCTCTCAAACACTGAGAAAACACTGTCTGCTCCACTCTGTTTTTAAACTCCAGAGGTCAGAGGAGCTGTTAACTTGAAAACTATTGCTTCATGACATCATAACATAATCAGAACAGAGCATTTTGAGCTTTGGACATGTACACAGACTAATAAACCAGGATTACTCAAACGTGTGAATGAAACAAAACACAACTCCACGTCTGTTTCTGATGACGTAACAACATTATAACATGGATTAAAGCTCACAAGAGTCAGTTTTGCATAATGTAGAACCTCTCAAACAAAGAGTGGCTTCTTTTCAGGGTCTTTTATAACCATGAGTGTGTATACATGCACATGAGCATCTCTGTTATGATCGGGTTTTTTGAGTATCCCGGTTTCTTCATGGTGCATGTTTACGCAGTACCTCGGTCTCAGTATCCCGGTTATTAGAAACCGGGATACTGTAGTTGGTCTATTCTGATAGTAACCAGAAAACTGTAGCATGTATACACAGTATCCCGGTTACAGCAACATAAAGTTGAGTGTGCATGCGTCCAAAAGACAAACACTTTCCAGTCTTTTCATCACAACAGTAGCGACATAAATAAAGTGACTAACATAAATAAAGTGACCACAACTGAGTGAAATGACTGTAGAATAAAAAGCTGCGTTAAATGTACTGCACTCGTATGACCTGCACTCGTATGACCTGCACTCGTATGACCTGCACTCGTATGACCTGCACTCGTATGACCTGCACTCGTATGATCGCTGAAAAGCTAAAACATGAACTATCTCTTGCGATATACACACAGACCAGACTCACCATCATCAGCACATCCTCTATCACAAAAAGAACACACATAATCCACTGAGTCGTGTCCTTTAGGCTACATTTACACATAGCCAGGTATTTTGAGAAACAAATATTTCCCTCCCTCCATTTTCCAAATAACATTGTGCTCACAACATCGTTTTCAAAAAAGTTTTCGTTTACATCAACCCGCATAAATACGCCATCGAGCGCTGTCATAACTACACTGAGCCTCTGGGCGCAGCTGGATTAGACTCAAACCTGTAAGCATTTATTTCATTACAGCTGTACGTATAACTCACAAATACCTTGAAAAACATGCATTAGTGAGCAGGCTTGCCTCTCCAGAGATCTGTTTAAGAAGTGGCAAAATCACTGACCTCCGAGTCCTCGTTCATCTCTGGTCATGGATCTGATCCATCAGCTGTGTGTGCAAATGCAAACGAATGCAGAAGAAATAGATGAGCTGAATCGGGGAGCGGTGTCCGGTGACCTGAGAAGCGCTTTTCCCGGAAAAAAAACAAAAAAAAAACACGCTCAGAACAACATATAATGAAATAAACGGGATTCATGCTTCTGTCCGGATGCTGCATCACCTCGGAACCAGCCACAGTCGAGCGCGGAGGACTGGAGCAGCCAGCCCGGACCTGTGGTCCACAGTGCATTCTTGCTTTTCCTGCACGTAACCAGCGCACAGATGACGGCACTGAAGCACTTGGACCTAGACCTTTGCGCTCAGTGTAGCTGTTAAAATTCTAATTGGAATGAAAATAATTTCCATTTCTTCTTTTTCTGGTGATACACAACACACTGATCTACAGTCACACAACGAACATACACACAACTCATGAAAAATGACATTTTGGTTACACACAGTGTTGGGAAGGTTACTTTTAAAATGTAATCCCCTACAGATTACAGATTACACACCCCAAAATGTAGTTTGTAACATAATCCATTAAATCACTTAAAGTGAGTAACGTAATCTGAATACTTTGGATTACTTGATATTGTCATGTTTTTTTTAAACGACATGAATGTAGCAACCACATCCTGAAAATTCTTGTTTGTTGTCTTCAAATTGTCTGAGCCCAAGTCTCCATGAATAAACAACTGTTTACTGTAGAGAAACAAAGACCACGAGATCTTAATATAAGAGGTTTTGTCTGTTAAAAGACAGTAACAAGATCAGCCTTTCCTTCACCAGATTAAAAAATATTATTGATACAGAAGTTATTTTTTATATGAGATCACCTTAAATTATGTCAACCTACTGTTAGGTGTCAGGTTGTTTAGACCTGGTTTAGTCCTGGTTTAGACCTGGTTTAGTCCTGGTTTAGTCCTGATTTTTAGACCTGGTTTAGACCAGGTCTAGACCAGGTCTTTAGTTCTGGTTTAGTCGTGGTTTAGTCCTAGTTTAAACCTGGTTCAGTCCTGCTTTAGTCCTGGTTTAGTCCTGGATTAGTCCTGGTTTAGTCCTGGTGTTAGTTCTGGTTTAGAGGCGCACAGGAGGAAGCGCGGTTTACGCGAGAAAACACGGTCCACACGCGGCGCACGAGACGGCGGTGTCCGCGCTGTAACTACAGAAGGAGACGTGGTCCGCGGGTTCTCAGGTTGATGACGATGATGAAGGTGTGTGTTTGTGTTTGTGTGCGTGTCCCCTCATGTGGCAGGTCATTATAGGACAGTAGTGCAGATATTATGAGTCTATGCAGGTTGTTTTCACCAGTGCCAGTAGCTCCAGTTTCACATTTAAGTTGTAGGTGATTTTATAATTTTTTTTATATATATATCTCACATCGGGAGAAGGATTTCCAAGACACAAATGCGTTTTTACCAATGCACTGCTGCTTCCACTGTGACTGACCGCCAACTTTAACATGACGTTTACATCGCTCTTATTGCGCGCGTTCTGTTTGGGCTTCAGGCAATGAAGTGAGTGAAATTACCGAAATAAAAAAATAAATAAATGGGATGTAGCACAAAATGTGAAAACAGGAAAATACCGCCTTGTAATCCACTTATTTCAGCAAAGTAACTGTAATCCAATTACCACTCATTGAAACAGTAACTGTTACGGAATAGAGTTACTCATAATTTGTACTCTGATTACGTAACGGTGGTACATGTAATCTGTTACTCCCCAACACTGGTTACACATTAGTAAACACAGTAAAAAAAAGTGCATACACATTGTATTGTGGATATAATGATCATGTAATATGGGCTGGGCTCCTCATAAACTGCTTCTGTGGTGATGAACTGACCCACCGACGCCTCACGGGGGATCAGGTTGATATCTCTGATTGTGCTTGTTATTCTGACGAGATCCTGAAAATTGAAGAATGTTCCACTTTTGTTGTAGTCGCTTTTGCTGAGGCAGTGGGTAGTGTTGTGTTTTAAGTTTTAGTTTTTCCTCGAGTGATGCAGAAAAGAGGGAGCTGCTGTCTGTGTGAATGTTCATGTATGTCAGGTCCCACAGGGGGCGCCAGTCACAAAACTGTCACTGTGTTCTTAGGCAAGGCACTTTACCCACATTGCCTAGTATGAAAGTGGTGTGTGTCAGAGATGGTGGTGGTCAGAGGGGCCGATGCCACAGATTGGCAGCCCCCTTCCGTTAGTCTGCTCTGTAAAGCGTCTTAGAGTATCCAAAAAAGCGCTTTATAAAACTGATGCATCATCATTATTATTATTATTATTATTATTATTATTATTATTATTATTATTATTATTAATTAATAATAATAATAATAATAATAATAATAATAATACTCAACCACCCTGAGTAACCCCAGAGCCTCTTTAGAAAACTTTTTTGTGCTGAAATGAGCAGCACCAAATATATAGCAGGTCACAGCTTCATTATTTCATTTTACGCAAACACGAGTGCACTTTAAACTGGAGCAACAGCCATTTGTGTGCACTATCTGCAAACATCAGAATTCCTTTTCTAATTTTGCTGTGTCATGAAAATGAATGCAACAGAGCGTTCATATCAGCAGCAGGCTGTGTGCGTCACTCCTGGAAGGGGCTGTGTTTGATCTGAACATGTTTACCTCACGGAGACACAGCTGAGTAATGTTTACGCAGTTTAAACCCTAAATCTTCTGACTCATTTAATCCCAAACTGTGGAATATCCCAGTCTAAGCAATAACATCATAAAGAAAAGAAGCGGGCATTGAACTCTCAGAAAAGTAACACATTTCACCTTTAAATAAACAGCAGTTGTTGTTTTGGGACCTGAATGTCACACAGCAGTCAAACCTCCATCTTGTGACTGAGCTAATCTTATCAGTGCAGGTCTTAGTTAAACTCCTTCCATCAGGAGAGTGTAGTGTCGCAGAGGAGCTCACGCCTCCAGGACATGGACCAGAGCGGCCTCTCCGACTCGGACGTGGACAGGGCCAGCGGCAGCAGCCCGGGGGACCAGGAGGAGCAGCCCGGGACCCAGGCCTCGGTGAAGTGTGGCTCTGTCATCTCCCCCCTGCTCCACACATGCGCCCAAAGTGTGTCCCTACAGACGCCCGCCTCCACAGACACACCGGGGACGGAGGGGACGGAGGGGACGCATGGAGACGTCCCCCGGGAGACCAGCGATGAGTGTCCTGTGTGCACCGAGCCTTTCCAGAAACAGGTATGGACTAAACTAAACTGTGTACAACAACAACAGCAGTGGAGCAAGAGTGTGTAAAGACATTGTGATTGTGATAAATGTGTGAAATGAGCGCTCATGTCCACGCACAAAAATACAAGAAAAAGCTTCAATTGCAAAATTATGAAAACATTATTTTCATATTTTGGTGTGTATCAGAACTAGGGGTGTAACGATATTCAAGTCTCACGATACGATATCATCACGGTATGAACCTCACGGTACAATATTTATTGTGATATTGTGGGAAAGCTCACGATTAGGGATGTAGCGATATTTTCAGGATATACAAAATATCACGTTACGATATTTGTTGCGATATTTTGTGGAGGCTAATATGTCTCTTTTTTCTCTTAAAATGCCTTGACAAGACTAGGACTAAAACTTAAAAGTGTTAGAACTGTTATTTCTTCTTGTAGTCTGCACTGAAATGGAGCAAATGATCCTGGTCTATGTTGTTCCCTCTGTCTTTTTGTTTTTTTTAGTTATTGGTGCATCATAACTCTTCATTTAAGCAAAGAGACTTGTAATTCAATATATGGTCCGCGATATTATTACGAGAACTTTGACGATACGATATCACGATATTTCGGTTATTGTTACATACCTAATCAGAACTAATTTAAATACAAACTACATACTTATCCTTATATAAGATACTTTAGATAAAGTTCAGCTCCTGGACTGAGATGTCTCCGGTCAAAAGTCACACACCATGGGCACACTTTGTGTACAAAGACATCACATTTATGAAGCAAGAGGTGTGGAATTATGTAGTAAAGAACCTTTCACAGCGAAGTACGGATACTTTGAGGATTAGGAATACAATATTTAAAAAAGTAGTTTAACTTTGTTCCTTTTACTACATAATTCCATATATATACCTCATTTATTGAATGCAATAAGTGCATTTTGGTGCGCATTTTAAACATTTGACAGACAACTGAAATACAAGTATCTCATGATTTATAATATTAATATACAAGAATATTTCATGTAGTTTTATACATAAGAGAGAATTTGTAATGGACATTTAATTTTGGACTATTTTAACTGTTCAAATTGAAATTACAATCACAAGAGGACATTCAGATTTTTGTTTTCATGTAATAAAGTACAATTTGGCTCAGTACAGATATATTTTAAAACAGCTCTTGGGGTCAAAATGAGACTGCTGTGTGCTGTCTGCATTATAAAGGAAGTGCGCTGTTATGCATGCTAGTTGTTGTTTACATTTCTGTGGGAGCCTCTGAAAGTTGTGAAGGTGTGTATAAACTCACTATGGTGAGCAGTTGAGATGCTAGGAGAGTATGTTGTTCTGTCTTGTTGTGTTTTTCATGTTTTAAAGACAGTAAAAATCACATACAGTACCTTTTTGATTTTTATTATTTTTTTTTTTTTTTATATTGTGATATTGTGATATTAGAGAGAATGGCGATAATAATTGAGTGAGGTTCAAATTTTTCCCTTTTCCCTTCTTTTTTTCATCCTCTTCTCCTTTATCCTCTCCTTTCTTGTTCTCTTCTTCTTTTTCCATTACGCCTCTGTTTCTTCTTCTTTTTTTTGGTTTTTTTTTTGCCAGACAGTAGGAGATGTAACAGTAACCGAAATACCATGATATCATATCATCAAAAGTCTCACAATAACATCGTGAGCCGTCACAATATATCCAATTACATGTTTTTCTGCTTAAATTCATTGTTATGGTGCAGCAACAGCTAAAGACAGAGAACTACATAGACCATGATCCTTTGCTCTGTTTCAGTCCAATCTACATGAAATAACATGTTTTCAAATTGTAATTATTTGGATTTGGATGGAGAAAAGTGTCATATTCACAGTTTTGTTTGCCTCCACAAAATATCGCAATAAACACACAAGAAAACATATATATATATATATAATATATATAACCACACTGAAAACTTCTCTGTTCACAAATTGACCCTGTGAAATTTTAAAGAAACATCCTATTTGACGTTGAAAATTTTACCAGTTTTAAGTGTCTTAACTCTGATATACCACTGAATTCAGAATTTTCTTATAAACTGTACACACAGAGCTAACACAAAACACAAAAGGTGTTACTAATGGTAACTGTGTTGTCCCAATGTACAGGATAAACTCTTGGTCAGTTCTTTTTTTTTTTTGCCAAAGGGACCAGACTGTGGAACTGTTTACCAGCTGATTTAAAATTAGACACAAATAGCAACAAATTTAGTAAGTAAGTAAATTACAACTACTGTATGCTTGCACTCCCGCAGTCCTGACGCAAAACAGAACACATTTTGGGACACATTTTGGGACACATTTTGAAAGCTCATTGCGGACGTAGACAGGCGGGTGGGATGATAAACTGCAGTCCCACAAACTAAAGTATAAAGTAAAATATAAAAATGATTCATGTATGCCTATCATACATCATTTGTGCTGGATATTTTATTTGGCATTAATAAAAACATTTTAAGCAGCCAAAATTTGTGGACGTGGTTTAATTTCGAGCACATTTTAGACAATTCCTTTCAGCTACTCCGTGTTTGATAGAGTTTAAGAAAGCGAACGTCCACATCTCGCGGGATTTGTGGGCAGGACCAAGACTGAAAATTCTGTCCCACACACTGTACTTCCAACCAAAAATGTCCTATCTGAAAATGTAATAATGCCAAATATTTCTTATCTGTGTGTTACTAGTGTGTCTTGTCTGTTTTTATGCATGTAGTTTATATTTTTTTTACAGACAAGTGTTGAAAACTTTTGATTTATGTTTATTAAGGACTTCACAATTGCATTAGACAACCCAGATGCACCTTTGAGTGTTAAATAGATATAAATATAGATCTAGAACGCACAAAACACCAATATCTTCAGTTATTTATATTGAGTATTGTACCAACCACTATGTCTTCAAAAAATAGGAAAATTATTTTAATATTAAGTACAATAGCAAAAAAAAAAAAAAAAAGATAACTGTGTCCTGGCTAAAACCACAACCTCCTACTAAAGAAAACTGGTGGGAAAGGGTTAAAGATGTGATGGAAATGGAAAGAGTAACAGCAAGACTGCGATTTAAAATGAAGGAATTTGCGGAGTTATGAGCACCAGTAATACAAAAACAAGATAATGTGTATGCTTCCTTTGGTGTGTGTATGGGTGTATGTGAGCGAGTGAATATGTATGAATGTGTATGTGTGTTTATTAATTCATAAGTAATGCTATTTTTATTTATTTAGTTTGGTGAGGGGGTCATTAATTAATCAGGGGAAGGGATTAAAGGGAAAAAAATATGTATGTATATATGTATGTATGTATGTATGTATGTGTATATATATATATATATATATATATATATATATATATATATATATATATATATATATATATATATATATATATATATATATATATATATATATGTGTGTGTGTGTGTGTGTGTATGTATGTGTGTATATATATATATATATATATATATATATATATATATATATGTGTGTGTGTGTGTGTGTGTGTGTGTTGTATTTATATACATACATACATACATACAGATAGATATATATAGATATAGATAGATAGATATATAGATAGATGGATAGACAGATAGATAGATAATATTAGGCTTTATAACATGAAGTGTAAAAGAGATGTAGTGAAATATATGTATGGATATATGCCTATATGTATATGTGCATGGATTTAAATGTGTGTATATGTGTATATGTGTGTGCGTGGGTGTGCGCATGCATGTGCGTATGTGGGTGGGTGCATGCAGGCATGCGTCCACACACGTATATACATAAGGGGTATTTTTATGAACATATAACGTAAATTAACATAGAGAATGTATGTATATATATATGTATATATGGATGTGTGTATGTATATGTAGGCATATGTGTATATATGTATGTGTAGATGGGTGTGTATATATATATATATATATATATATATATATATATATATATATATATATATATATAGATAGATAGATAGATAGATAGATAGATATGTGTGTATATATGTGTGTATATAATGTGTGATATATATGGATGTGCTTATACTCGTGTAAATAGCTAAATGGACACTTAACATCTCTAATAAAATGAATAAATATATATTTAAAAAAAACAAAAAAAAAAAAAAAAAAACCCACCAATATCATATTGAGTGTGAGCCCATTTAAGGATAATACGCACTTTTAATACAAATGCCCTTTTACCCCACAGGGAGACCACGCTGCCGCCATCCTGCACTGTAACCACCCGGTGTGCCAGCGGTGCCTGCAGGCCGTCCAGCGCCTGTCCCGGGACCCCAGCAGGCTGAGGTGCCCCCTGTGCCGGCAGACCACGCCCCTGCCCCAGTGGGACATGTTCATCCTGCAGGAGGACATGTACAGCGGGGGCGTGGACATATGCCAGGGCGGGCGGGTGGAGGCGGGCACGGACCTCGGCCCCTGGTCTCGCTACAGACTCATGAGGATCCACTCTCTGTACCTGTACGTGTCTGTGCTGGTGCTGCTGCTGCTCATGCTGGGCTACCTGCTGTCCCGAGACAAGTGAAGGACCTTTGTATTTGGAAATCAATAGTAGCAGTAATAGTAATAATATTTGTGTAATCCCTCAGTCGTCCAGGTAGGATCCATCGCAAAGGAGAAATTCAACTCTGTCAACTGGACACAAGTTTTTGATCAAAGATGTTTCGCAGATCATCCAAGCTGCTTCTTCAGTTCTGATCAGATGCTGGTGGACACTGTCTTATATTTTGGGGATGCAATGATATTTAAATTTCTCAATATATATCATATTTCATGATATATAACTCATGATATTTCGATATTTATTGTGATTTTATTTTATTTTATTTTTTGTAGAGGCAGAACAGTATTGCAAATATACAGAATTGCGAATACTTTTTCCTCTTTAAATGCCTTGACAAGATTTTGATTATGTCATAATCCAACTAATAACAGTTACGCTTCATGTAGTTTGCACTGAAACTGTCAGGAGTGTCAAACTCATATTCACAGAGGCCAAAATTAAAAACTGTGACTAAGATATGTAATATTAAGTGTTTTCTTATTAAAATAAATGTTTAATAATAATTTAGCTTAAACATTGAATCCAGAACAAGCAGAATATAAAATAATAATAAAATGTAAAAAAAAAAAAAAGTCTCTATAGTCTATCTGTAGCCAGTGGGAAGCTCTAATACATACCTGATATTATCTTGCGGGCCAAATATAATTATATCATGGCCCAGATTTGGCCCCTGGGCCTGAGTTTGACATGTCTGGTCTATGTAGCTCCCTCTGTTTTTTTCACTCATGTTGCACCATAACAATGAAAGACGAAGAAACTTGTAGAAACTTGTAATTCGATATATTGTGACGGTCCACGATGTTATTGTGAGACTTTTGATGAAACGATATCACAATATTTCGATTATTGTTACATTCCTGTTATATTTCTGGGTTTCAGATGACATCACGGCATTCTATTGGTCAATATTAATGAATACAGATGGGGGTGAGTTCTTGGGTCAATGTGGGTTATGCAAACCTAAACCCTTGAAACAAAACACTGTACTCAACAGTATAAAAGAAACAACAACACATAGTAGAAAATAATTTCCAGACGTCTTCTTGGTTTGTGACAGAATGTGAATAAAGCCTATAGAAAATATTTTACCTTAGATGCAGTCTTAAAAACCACCACCACTCGCTGCTATTTTCTAAAGAGCTTTCTGAGTTGGTGTAATTTTGTTGGTGCATTAGTGTCAGGGCTGCATGACAGAGATAATCCTCCTGACGGCTTCAGGGTAAAAGCTGTTCTGAAGTCTGGCGGTCTTGGTCTGTAGATGGCGCAGTCTTCTGTTTAGTTTAGTCTTTATTTGAAGAGACAGAGTACAGAGACATTAAGCTCATAAAACAACAAACAACAGAGATGTTCCGCACCAGGTTCTAGCAGCTAGTTTCCATCTGCACTCCCTGATTCACAGAAATAAATAATACAATGCAGTGTCTGATGGGAGAGCTGTAAAAGTCCATGTGCTGGTTGGGTAGAGTCCTCCATGATGCTGGAGGCTTTTTTTCCTGCTCCTGCTGATGTTGGTGGTGCTGCTGAACCTCACAGTCATGTTGGAGGTGAGGACGCTCTCCACCACACACCAGTAAAAGGTCAGGACAGACTGGCACAGACCTGCTTTCTGGAGGCGCCTGATAAAATATTGAGTTGATGTGCTTTAGTTAGATGAATAGCTTTGGTTAGACTCAGATGTGAGATGGTGGATGCTCAGTGAGGTTGGCAGTTATAAGTAAGTTTCATAAGTTCCATATTTGGAGCCAATCAGAAGTGAAGTGATTGGAAGTAAAGGCCCTTCTTCTCCTCTAGCAGGAATGACTTGGGACAAAAAAGGCACCTCATTGGTCTGTTATTAACGTGCATTTCTTACAGACAAAACAGAGAAACAAAAACATCAGGACCATGTAGACCTGGTTAAATTGAACATTTTAAGGTTAGAACGATGAGTCTGACAGAAGCATTTGCGACGCTTTTTCAATGAATTTTGTATTATAATATTCTGTATTTGGAACGCAGCGGCTGGTGGGTTTGTTATGTCCATTTGTACAGCCAGTCTATGTCCAGGCCTAGTGCTGCAGTGAAACAGTCGGGTCTCTCAGGAGGATGAGGTCTGGTTCTGTGGAGCAGGTTGTTCCCCTGTGAGCCTGTGAGGAGGGGAGGGGACACATTATCACAAATCAAATGTGAACAATGCAAGTTTGATTTTTTGTTTCTCAACTTTAAAGTTTAATAAATAAAATTGAAAGAAAAATGTCTTGCCTTTTATTATTGCTTTATTATGACTTAAAGCGGCACTATTTCTATTTTCCACTGTTTTCCTCACTCCCCTCATCAGGACAAAGCACCGGATCTTGGTGAACCGAGCCTCTGGAACTCACTCCCACAATCCCTCCGGAACTCAGACTCACTGCAGCACTTCAAATTACAACTAAAAACTCACCTGTTTTCCTGAATTGTCTTTAACACAAAAAGTGTTATTTAAACTATTTGTTAGTTAAATGGGAGTTTGAGTTGGGGTGTTACAGCCCCAGGCCCTAATTTGTAATTTATTTTGTGTCCTTTAAATTATTTTGGTGGAACACTTCGATTCCTGCTGCAGGAGCCCTGACTCGTGATTGGTGGGGCATGTCTACACCCACCTGACCTGCAGCCACCGCCCCCTACTTAAAGAGATGACCAGCACCTATTCGGGGCTGCTGGTCTTGGTGGCCAGTCTGCCGTTTTGTGTTAGTGTGTGTAGTTCTGTTTTGTGCCTTTTTTTGATTTGGTCACTCGATTCTGTTTGTGGGCTTATGTGGTTTAATTTGGGGAACTTGTGTTTTGGTTTCGTGTGTGTCCCTTAGTTTTACCACTTGTTATGGTGTGACCCCTTCTGTGGCACAAAACTCATTGTCTGTTGTTTTGTTTCTTAGTTTAGGTTATTTTCTGTATATTTTAGTCTGTTTTGTTAATTTACCTTTTACACCCCTGTTAATTAAACATTATTTAATTTAACTTTGGTCGGTGTTACTTAATGAACATTTCCAAAAATATTAAATTAACTCTAGAACAGATTGAACTCATATAAACTCTGAGAAAATGTTCAAATTGATTCTGTGAGAGTCAATTTTAACACTTTTTGCTGCATACAGTGTGGCTATAATTAGTTTTAATGCGTCTGAGTGTCCAAAAAAGTGCTATAAAAGTCTGATGTATTATTATTTCTGATCTCGTGGCAAAACAGGAAGCGCTCCACTGTGTTTTTAAACTCCACATATCTTCAATAGAATGATTTGGATCATCATCAAGTCTCAAACTGCTCCACTCTTCAGTTCACTTGCAGATATTAGAGACTTTCTGTGGCAATCTCAGCTGGATCAAAGGTAAAATTAAAAAATCTAAAATAAAAGCGGCAATTTTGGTCATTTCAGTGAGTTGAAAAGTAAAGCAGTGTGGTCAAAATCACCCTGAGACATGAACCCTCGACACACGGCGATTGTGTTGTCCGTTCTAGTCTCGAGCACTTCAGTCTTGCTCTGCTTCTGTCGAGGAGGAACTTGTTTTATTGATCAATTCCATGCAGGTGTGACGCTAACTGTAAGCACTACAGAGTTCTAAATGTATTCAGGAGTAGCAGCAGTTTATCGAGCTCCGTGTCCCGTGTTTATCTCTGTTAGTCGTGTTGGCGTCTCCTCTCCGTGTGTGAAGTGTGTATTGAAATATGCAGAATAAGAGTGTGTGGTGTGCGTGTGCTCATGCGTGGCTGCTCCGGCTGAATGCTTTAGTGAGTTCAACTGGGCGTGAGTGAGGAGGAGATGAGCAGGGACATGAGACGGGACTGTGGCCTCTATACAGAACCGTCCAGGAGCTCACATCAAACCCAACGTTAAAGGAACACTATGTGACTTTTCTGGTGGAGGGTCTGCCACCTCAACTTCAAGGACGTGTTTGCATGTAATGTAAGATCAAGAAATGAATATCCAACAGGCGAGTTTCAGCTGACGTCATTGTTATTAAAAGCCCGCGTTGCATGCTGGGAAATATTTTGGTCAGAGGCAAGAAACATGATAGCGTCAAACACAGTGCGTAACCTCGCGTATTTATCCCCGATAATGGTAAATTCCTGCTGCATTATCGGATGCACAAATAGAAGCACGGAAGAAGGAAAATGTCTTTTTCGTATTCTGAGTGAAAAGAACCACTAACGTTGAATTAAACGGCTTTCAAACATTCGCAGAGCAAATGTAGAAGATCCGAGCAAACCATGGACTCCAACAAGTTCCACCAAGTCATTGTGGATATCGCCGAAGTGAATATTTGTCCAGGTAGTTGGACGATTTTGACCAGAAATTTGGTTTCGTCCACCTTTTGTAGAGGTTGAAAAGGGTGATTTGGCGCTTTGGTCCTCTGCCGTTAGAGTGGATAAATAACCGGGATCAATACCCTTTACGTGCTTTCTCACTCCGTCCATCATGTTGAATTAGGCTGTGTTCAGACTGCAGCCTCAAGTGACCCAAATCTGATTTTTTGGCTTCTATGTTCCTGTATCTGATCTTTTAATGACAGTCTGAACCACACAGATCTGATTTTTTCAAGTGCGACCGAGGCCACTTGGATATGTGCTCCTGAAACTGATACATATCTGATCTTTTGACATGTGACTTCAGTCTGAACGGCCAAAGCGCATTCATCCACCTACACGTTATCAACAAGACACAAACGTCACTATTCTGCGCTGAAGTAGGCGAAAATTGTTAATGAACTCTGTGTCACTGAAGTGAAGCACATCACCACTCACCACTCTTGGCTCCGTCTCCACATCCACATGTTCCTTTCAACGGACGTCACTGCCGCTGTCCCACAAGACGCCACGGCTAAAAACCTCGTCCTTCTCCTTCTCAATCTCCTCTTTAAAACAAGTCAGTTGTTCATGTTCTGACTCCGGTACAAGAGGAACTTTAAAATCTCCAGGTGCTCAATGCTGCGTCCATGTTTGGACA